AGTTCAAGGGTTTGCATGAACCTGCAGACGTTCTTGCCTTCTCCTTTCTTTGCTTGGATTGAAGGGAGCTCCATGATTTTGCTTTTCCCCTCGTTCTCTGAGAACTGACAGTATTCTTTTATGTATATGTGTTTCTTTTTCTCTCTTTTTTTTTTTCTTTTGGTTTCGGATTTTTTGATAGTTGCAGGATGTCAAGATTTAGTCCGAGCCTCCGAGGAAACACATCTTAAATCTTGCATCTTGGGATGTTAGAAAAGTTTTGCAGCTCACACACCATGGGATGAAAAGCAAAAATCCATATATCCAAGTTCCTCTGTGTTACCAGAAACGTAGAACTTGTACGAAATATGTTAGAATATATATTGTTTCTTTTCCACAAAACTACTGGAGCGTAGTAAAGAGTTTTTTCACTGGGGGAAATTAATTTTAGGGCTAATTTTTGTGTATAATTTTTTTAATTTCCACAACTTATTGACTTTTTTTAACTTCACTCAATTTTATAATATTGTTTGCAGTCATCCGATCAATGATACATGAAACTTCTAATTGAAAGTTTTTTTAAAAAAATGGGAAGGTGTCTTGCATAATATTTTAAAATATAAAAAAATACATATTTACTTTTTTTTTAAAAAAATTAGTGTATTAATAATAAATCAAATTATTTTATTCAATTAAAATTTAATTTAAAATTTAAAAATTAATTATATATTTTAATTTAATGTGTTTATAAATTTATAAATCAACATTTAATATAGAAATTAAATTTTTTTAAATTAAATTTTAATTAAATAAAATATAATTATATAATATTTAGATATTATATTTTTAGCTAGGAATAGCACACATTATCTTTTTAAAATATTATATTTTAATTAATATTTTAAAAATTAACCTTATGGTTAATTTAATATATTAAAACATAATACATATCAATTTTAATATTTAAAAAAATTAAAATTTTAATTTTAAATAATATTATTTTATTTAATTAACATCTCATTTAAAATTTAAAATTTTATATTATTAAATGTTAAAATTTACATTTAAAAATTAAAAACTCATATTTATTTTCTAAATTTAAAATTTGATATTTAATAATATAAAATTTTAATTTTTAAACTACATTCTAATTAAATAACATAACATTAAACTCTAATATAAAATAAATTTTTAGATAAATTTTTGAAAAATAAATTTAAGGTACAATAGCATAACAAATTGCTCTTAAAAAAAAAAAAAAAAAAACTCTTGCACTGCACTAATTTCAAAATATACCGTACGTTTTGTATCATCACTCTTTTATACTGTTAACCGTGTTACGATGTTTCACACCGACCTAACTTGACGTGTTGAACCGAACTTTAGCTAGGTGGGCAAAATATTTCCTTTGATTCTGCCAAAATTTATATATATATATATATAAACTGTTTTATAT